ATACATTTCTGGTGGAAAGGTAAAATGGTGTAGTTGCTTTGGATAACCATCTGGCAGTTCCTAAAAAGGTTAAACAGAGTTACCATAATTCCACTCCTTGCTATATACCCAAAAGAAATGAAAACTATGTCCACACAAAAACTTGTATATGAATGTTCATAGCAGCATTATTCATAACAGCCAAAAGTGGAAACTACACAAATGACCATCACTGTTGAATGGATAAACAAATCATGGTATATCCATACAATGAAACATTACTTAGCAATTAAATGATGACGTACTGACACAAGCTACGACATTGATGAACCTTCAAACATGCTGAGCGAGAAAATTCCTTATCTTGGGAAGATAAGGAATATGGTACTTAGACATATGAATTTAAGGTGAGAACTGGATAATTAAATGAATGATGGACAGTTAAGGTAGATGAGTTACCATATATAAGTGATGTTTAAAGCTTAACAGAGTAGATAAGAGATTTAAGGCGAAAGTAATGTCAGTATTGTTTGAGGATTGCAGTACATTGAGCTCCATAGAGACAACGCAGGGCAAGTGAGAGCCAGATGGGCCCTGGGCGACTCTATGCCTTCCTGAGGGAAAATAACTAAACATGGTCAAAGGAGATCCTAAGAAGCCGAGAGGCAAAATGTCATCGTATGCATTCTTTGTGCAAACTTGTCAGGAGGAGCACAAGAAGAAGCACCCAGATGCTTCACTCAACTTTTCAGAGTTTTCTAAGAAGTGCTCAGAGAGGTGGAAGACCATGTCTGCTAAAGAGAAAGGAAAATTTGAAGACATGGCAAAGGCGGAGAGATGTCTTATGAAAGAGAAATGAAAACCTATATCCCTCCTAAAAGAGAAACAAAAAAGTTCAAGGATCCCAGTGCACCCAACTGGCCTCCTTAGGTCTTTTCCTGGTTCTGTTCTGAGTATTTTCCAAAAGTCAAAGAAGATCCCTGCCTATCCATTGGCAATGTTACGAAGAAACTGGGAGAGATGTGGAACAACACTGCTGCAGATGATAAGCAGCCTTATGAAAAGAGGGCTGCTAAGCTGAAGGAAAACTATGAAAAGGACATTGCTGCAAAGGAAAGCCTGATGCAGCAAACAAGGGAGTTGTCAAGGCTGAAGAAAGCAAGAAAAAGAAGAGGAGGAGGAAGATAAGGAGGATGAAGTGGATGAGGAGGAAGAGGAAGGTGATGATGGTGAATAAGTTGGTTCTAGAGCAGTTTTTTTTTCTTGTGTATAAAGCATTTAACCCCCCTGAACACAACTCACTCCTTTTAAAGAAAAAAACTGAAATGTAAGGCTGTGTAAGATTTGTTTTTAAAGTGTACACTGTCTTTTTTTTGCACAGTTAACACACTACTGAATGTGTCTTTAGATAGCCCTGTCCTGGTGTTATTTTCAATAGCCACTAACCTTGCCTGGTACAGGATGGGGGTTGTAACTTGGCATGGAAATTTAAAGCAGGTTCCCGTTAGTGCACGGCACAAATTAGTTATAAATGGGGATGGTAGTTTTTTTCATCTTCAGTTGTCTCTGATGGAGCTTATACAAAATAACTCTTGTTCTTTTAACTGAATGCTATTCTGCAATTGTGAAAAAAAGTTGCAGCTGTTTGTTGACATTCTGAATGCTTCTAATTAAATATAATTTTTTAATTAAAAAAAAAAAAAATATATATATATATATTGTTTGGGGACTTGCCAGGCACTGTTCTAAGTACTGCACATGTATGAACTCTTACAATTCTTTTAATTTATTTTTTTAATTTAAACGTATCGATTGTAGATATTTATGGGGTACAGAGTTATATTTCTTTTTTTTTGTCTTTTGTCTTTTTCCGTGTCCGGCAACGGATCGCAACCCTCAGTGTCGCCCCCGTACCGGACCGGGGACCGGAAATGGGATCGCAACCCTCGGTGTTGCCCCCGTGCCTCGCTCAGCCAGTGAGCGGGAACCGGTCCA